TTGGTTAGTTTTTAGTGCCAACCTTGCTTTCCAAAATATTCCAGACACCATAGTCCAACGGATTGGTATCCGGAGATTTTGATGGCCATTGTGCGCTGGAAATGAAGCAAGGAACCTCATTCTGTAACCATTCTTGGATGGCGTGTGCTGAGTCCTGTTGGAATGTCCAAGGTCTGCGGCCAAAATGTTTGCGTTCCCAAGGCTTTAATACACCCTCCAGAATATTTTCGCAATAATATACGGCATTTATTCTGATTCCACTGTAAATTAATACGAGCGGAGAGCAACCATCGGCTGTTATGGCGGCCAACCGAAGGTGCAAATTTTCAGCTGACCTCTTTGGCATGTAAACGCGATCATTTTTTTTGTTTACAAACTGCTGAACAACGAATGTTTTCTCATTGCAGAAAACCAAATTCGACAGTTCACCACTTTAGGCCAAGCGAAACAACTCTTATCTCTTTTGAGTCTATTTTCTTTGTGTTCCGGTGTAAGTTCTTGCACTTTTTGGAATTTCAATGGCTTTACCCCAAGCCCATTTTTTAATATTTGCCGAATGGATTATTGCGATTTGTTCAGCTCACAAGCCATTTTTCGGCCACTGCAATGAAGGTTTCAATACAATCGCTTCTTTACTGTTCGAACCATTTCTGCTGAAGTAGCTGTTTTCTTCCGTCCAGTTCCTTGACGTTGGGCTACGCTACCAGTCTCACGGTAACAAGCGATGGTACAAGACACAAAAGATTTATTCACATTTAACTGCTGGAGTGCTCTAACGATAGCCACTTGTGGGTTTCCAGCCAAATATAAATTAATCACACTATCACGCTTGAATTCCATCACGAATAACTTTTTTCTGGAAAATTCTCACCAAAATGCTTTTTCACGCTTGTAAACAATATAATGGGCTGTCACTGGAATAATTTTAACAGCAGTCGGACTAGTGGCTTAGAAATTACAGCAGTCTGAAGTTGTTTGAAGTTTTTTCATCTCACCCTGTACAGCTGTCGCCAAAACCACCATCTACTTTGTTTTCATTTTTAGTTCAATTGAATCTAAAATAAACATTTATATTTTCTTTTGTATCTGAGATCTATCAGACCATGTGCAATTTTTTTATATTTATGTATCAAATGTTATGATGCTGTGCTTTGTATGCTGGTGCAAGCACAGCATTTCAAGTTGAATAACCTTTTGCTGATGACGGCTAATGGTGATGATACGTCATTTTGGTTACATATTTAGTTGCACCGCAATTCATTCAATAAAATATTTCCACAAATATAATAAAAAACATTTATTAGTCATAACTTATAAATTAGATAAAACACATACTAAAAAAAACAGAGAGGGACCGGAAAGAGCGCCAGAAAACCTACAAACAATATTTGTATAAAATAGAAATCAATTCCCTGGCCAGCAACAAATAAACAAAATGTTGGGAAACATTATTAAAAATAGCCAAGGAGTCCCTTGTGTTCTATAGTTGTAGAAAAAACAACAAAAATTCAACTGACAGCCAAATAATGAATATGTCTAAATAAACGAAAAAAAAAAAAAACAAGAACAACAATTCTGTGAAGAGCAACAGCAGGCCGACACAAAAATCGACGTCCAAAAAAAAAAAATGCGTGCACATGAAGCCAAGAAGAAATCATTTAAACACAACAGTTGTTAGCCATTGCCGGCTAGCCGGCGGCCCGATAGTGCTGTAGCTAGCTATATATTGCGTATAGTTTTTTCTTTTTGTAGATATTGGGTAATTGCGGTGTGTGTTTCTAGTAAACAAAACCACTAAACACACATTGCGCTCGCTGCTATCTTGGTTTCCTTTCTTTATGCCTAAATATAGTTTCCATATTAAGGGTAGATTTTCTTTAAGAGCTTATGGGAAAAAAGTTGGCGAAATTTGGCACACAGCTCGAATGTGACATAGGCTAGGTTCTTCTTAACGCACAGGCGGCACAACAGCAACAACAAAAATCATGTTGACAAATTTCCAAAATGTTTAAATTATGAAACAACGCCCATAATGTGAATCCAAAATGTGGGGTATTTGAGGGGGCACTCATGGGATATAATATGAATTTAATTAATTTAATTAGTCGAATAAACTGTTGACCCTATTTGGTCAGCCAGTGAGTGGCATATCAATTATTGGGATTATATGTTTTCAGCACCACCACACACAGTGGACTAGGAAAGAAATGAAAAAATATTATATATATATTTTATAATATCCATTTTTACTGATAATTTCTCCAAGAAAAATAAACAAACTTAATCTTTCATATACAGGGTGAGATGAAAAAACTGCAACCATTATTATCCATTATTTATTTTATTTTTGTGTTGCTTAGTATTGTAAGAAACAAATAGATTCTTGGGAGATCAGTTTATTTTAATATTTTATCTTGGTTAGCTCCGATAAAAGTGAAATATGGAAGAATGCACAGAGGCCTATTTACTCCTGCCAGAACTCCATACGTAGGAACTGTTGGCTAAGACCACATGGTGTCTACGAGACGATTGTGCACCCGCATTTGCGTATGGTTTTCTAGCATTGTGTCCTATGCTAAATGAAAATTAGTACATGTACAAGTTTCTTCAAACAGCAGTACTTCAAAAGCTGCATTGAACGCTGTATTAGAAAGAAGCATAAACTATATGTGCAGTGGAACAGGCGACAAGGATTGTATAATGCTTAAGAATCTTTTATCAAGATGTGTTTAATCGTTTCAGTCTCTCTGCTACAGTTTGAAATAATTATATATATACAGGGTGAGATGAGAAAAGTGGTCAACTGCCGAATTTGGTTTTCTCCGATGAGAAAACATTCGTTGTCTAGCAGTTTGTAAACAAACAATGATTGCCGTAATTACTTACCAAAGAGGTCAGCTGAAAATGTGCACCTTCGGTTGGTCACCAGAACTCAAGCGCCGACCATGGTAATGGTGTGGGCCGCCATAACAGCCGATGGTCGCTCTCCGCTCGTATTAATCGACCGTGGCATCAGAATAAATGCCAAATATTATCGCGAAAATATTCTGGATGGTGTATTAAAGCCTTGGGCACTCAAGCCTTGGACATTCCAATAGGACTCAGCACCATCGCACTCAGCACGCGCCACCCAAGAATGATTACAAAATGAGATTCCTCGCCTCATTTCCAGCGCACAACGGCCACCAAAATCTCCGGATACCAATTCGTTGGACTATTGTGTCTGGAGTATTTTGGATCGCAAGTTTGGCACTAAAAAATACCAAATAAAAAATACCTCAAGCAAGCGCTTCGCCGGGAATAGGCGACCGCAGAGCAACATTCGGGCAGCGTGTGACGGTTTAATTGGCCGTTTGAAGGCCATTATTCGTGCCAAAAGTGACTAATTCGAACAAAAATCCAAACTTATTCTAAAATTTGATGCTATTTGCTGCATTTTTTGCTTTCATTTAATAATATTTAAAAAAAAAAATGTAAAAATTATGATTTTTGACTTTGTTGCAGTTTTTAATCTCACCCTGTATTTTCGGCCGATTTCATATATTTGATGCACCAAACACGCTATATATCTCTAAATTCAATGAAATTTGGAATGTGTAACGGAATTTAAAACTAACATACATTTGCCAAGTTATATTGAAATCGGTTCAGATTTGGATATAGCTCCCACATATATTTTCGATCGATTTGGTTTTTTTTTTTGATGCACCTAGCACGATATGTATGTCCGATTCTAATGAAATTCAGAATGTGTTTCGGAATTTAGTTACAATAAAAAAATTTGATAAAATTATTAGAAATCGGTTAATATTTGTATATAGCTCCCATATATATTCTTAGCCGATTTCACATATCTGATGCATCAAACACAGTATGTATCCATGTGACGGAATTTGGTGTAAAAGTAAATTTTTATCAAATTGTATTGAAATCGGTTCAGATTGGAATATAATTTTATTAAGAAGCATTGACCCGCAACGCCTTTGCAATGGTATGAGACTAAGAGTAAAAAACTACACAACAATTTAATTGATGATGCGATTATTACGGGGAAGTATGTTGCTATCTCTAAGAGCAACAAAAATGCCACTCAACTTAAAAAGATTTTCTGCTCACTTGGCATTTGCTATAAAATTAATATATTCAAAGGACAACCCTTCGTGTAGGCGGACTAAATTTGGCATGTTCCTGTTTTTCTCATGGTCAGCTGTTCCTGGCATGTTCACGCGTTGGTAGATCGCATTAAAGTATTACAATAATTATGTTTTTTAATTTTTGAATTTGTTTTATATTTTTTCAAAACCTACAAATATTCGTATATAAAATTTTGGATGCATATAAAATCGAAAGGGGTAGCGAAGTGCACCGGAATCAGCTATAAAGGCACAATCAAAAGCATAGACATTCCCCTTGTCGGTCCGATGATTTCAAACATTTTAGACTCGAGGCATTTTAAAATGACCCGTTTCTAATGTCTTCAACTACAGAAGAGATCAGCTTTAGAAAATAAACTACAAATATATATTTAGTGGATTGTATATATAGCTAAATTTTTGTTATCTATTGTTACGTAAGTTTTACATACTATTTCTCAAAAAATTCCAAATTTATTAATACGATGAGAGAAGAATTGACTCTACTGACTTCTCTGTGTGGCCGCACTGATTTGTTTGTTTATAATTTGAGTTCTTAAATTACGCAAAAATAAACCTTTCACTATTTCAGCACCAAAAATCACTCCGCAGATAATTCTAACAATTTAGCAACGTTCGATAAAGTATCTTTCAGACTGCACATTTCTGTTTTGAAACTACTACTACTGCTCAAAAAAATAAAATAACAAACGATGTTTGTCACTCACATTTTACTTTCCAATATTTTTGCACTTTTTTGTGGCTACTTACTAAACTTTGTGTTGCTTTGTGTTTCTTTGAGAAATACTTCATTTCCCAAAATACATTTTTTTTAATATTTTTCATTATGCTTATTTTGAATTTCAGTTATGGTTTTAGTCAGCAGCGAATGGCAAAACAAAAGTGAAGATGAGCAAAAATTGTCCACAACTGTTGTCGCAGGAACAAGCAACACCGCCCCCATCACACAAGCAGCAGCAATACCACCAGGAACAACCACAACAACTGCTGTGGCAATTACATCAACAATACTACCGGCAACAGCAACATTGGTCAATGCCGATACAATTGTCACAGCAACAACGACAGAGGAAACTATAACCCCTCCAATAGTAGCAACAGCAGCAGCAACAGAAAATACTACTTCCAAATCACCAACGACAATAGCAGTATCAACAACAGCAACAACTAAAACAGTAACAGGAACGACGACACCAGTAACAATAACAACAACCATAATAAAAACAAACGATAACAACAACGAACAACAGAAAGATAAAAATTCCAGCAGAACAGGAATCATTGCCGCAGAGAACAAAATTGAAGATTGCAATAATATTAACATAATTACAAAACCAGGCGTTGTCGACGACGACGACAACAACGACGACGACGATAACAAGGGAAAACAGCAACAGTCCAGTAATAGTATTACAACAACATCATCTGCAAACGATTGTAATTCAAAGGAGGAAGATTTCATTGTCTCAGTCTTAAATTACAACAGCAATAATAAGATAATGGCCGAAAATACGAAAGAGACGCCAGTAAAAGAGGAGCCAACAATCGGTGAAAAGTCCAGCTCGGAAGCCTTATTGTCGTCGTCAGATTCTTCCCCTGCCGCCCCGCCCGCATCCATGATTATCAATAGTCAGTCAGGTGGTGGAGGTGGTGAAACAAATTTCAAAGATTTCGATGAATCCAATTCAAACACGAATACGCTACAGCCCTCGGTAACGGTCAAGACGCAAAATATACAAAACGCCAAACCCACACAAGCCCTTAGCTGTCCATTTACACAGCAGGACTTTAGCAGTGCTTTACAGTCGGCATTGAATGCAACAGCTACAATAACAAATAGTTCAACAACGGCTGCAGCTGGTTTGCAGCCAAATTTTCTCAGTCAATTGTCATTGACGGCGAATGTAGCGGGACTGCAAAAAACTGCCAAACAACTGAACTCAGTGTTTAACACCACAACGGCGGCGGGGATGGCGACGACGACGACGAATGTAAATGCGAACGACAACAACAGTAATCAAGCCAAAAACGATAGCAATCTCATAGATGCCTCCGGCAGCAGTAGTAACTCCGTAATATCTGCATCATCTCTAGCCTCAGTAGTACCTAGCAGCGATACCAACAATGGTCAAGCGAAAATTGTTCTAATATGTGAAGGCAATTCGCATCCCTTTCAGACCCGCACCATTTCTCTCACGCCCAATGTGGAGTGCATGGTCGGTCGTTTAATAGCCAAAAGTAAAGTTGCCGACGACAATGCCATTTTCGATTGCAAAGTATTATCGCGTAAACATGCTGTCATCTGGTATACACCTGATGGTAAATTTTGGGTCAAAGATACAAAATCATCGAATGGTACCTTTATCAATGACAATAAACTGGGCGTCGAAGAGGCCGAACTGCATTTCGGTGATATTGTTAAATTTGGCGTTGATGTTGTTGAGAATTCACGCAAAGAGGTGCATGGCTGTATCATTGCCTGTGTTAAATTGTATTTACCGGACGGTCGGGAGGCCATTTCAATCGATTCACCCGCCCATCGCAGCCCGTATTCGGGTGAGGGACGCATCAGCTATGACGATTTACATCGTTTGAATCTGTACATCCAAGAGACCGCGCAAAGGGAGAAAGTTCTAACATCCAAGCTGTGTAGTATACAAAATATTTTGGATGCGACACGCAAAAATTCGGCATTATGTTGGCAATCGATGATAACCGAAGATCAGTTGTTGCATCGTATACATTCGTTGGAAAAGAAACTGTCATTGATGGAGAAAAATGTGCCTGAAAATGTCCTAAGAAATGAGGTGAGTAGCAAATTTTTTAGAAACAAATTCGCGACATTTTTTTTTAAAAGGGACATAAAATTTCAATAGGTCACATCTGAGTTGTATAAGAAGGCTTATTTAAAATACTTTATCACGGGTCCTTTTGTATATTTGAGAATATACTCCTAGGTCTTTCCTTAGAATCGGCGAAGATTCAAAGACGACACATAGTCGTCATTAAAGACATTAGACCATTTGGCCTGTTGTATTCGTCCTTAAGACTAAAGTTGATAATGGCAGAATATAAAGAGAGAGAGAAAAAATGTTTTTCTCTGGACGAATCCCATACTTACATATGATATAGTATTATACAGGGTGAAATTAAAAAATGCAACAAAGTCATTTTTTTACATTTTTTTCAAATTTCATTGAATGAACGCAGAAAATGTCGGAAATAGCATCAAATTTTAGAATAAGTTTATATTTGTTCGAACTGGTCACCTTTGGCACGAATTATGGCCTGCAAACGTCTAATAAAGCCGTCACACGCTGCCCGAATGTTGCTCTGCGGTATTTTGGTCCATTCCCGGCGAAGCGATTGCTTTTGATCGAAACCTGCGTCGCAGTGACCGAAAAATGGCTCGTGAGCTGAACATATCGCAACATTGCACTCGGCAAATATTGAAAAATGAGCTCGGGGTAAAGTCATTGAAATTCCAAAAAGTGCAAGAACTTACACCGCAACAGAAAGATTATAGACTCAAAAGAGCTAAAGAGTTGCTTCGCTTGGCCGAAAGTGGTGAACTGTCGAATTTGGTTTTCTCCGATGAGAAAACATTAGTTGTCCAGCAGTTTGTAAAAAAACAACCTCACAAAAGTAGCGAAGGATATCGAAATTCGCAATTACATCCCTTCCGCTGACTGTCCCATATTTCTGCAAGGTTGTTTTTCTCATAGAGCTATCTGCTGTCTGTTTTGTTCTAATGCCTTTTTCGGAAATATTGAGTGTCATTTTCGTACTCCGACTTTGTCAATGACTTCTTTTTGAGTGGATGTTCCTATTTTATACCCTCCACCAGAGTAATATTAAGTTTGTCATTCCGTCTGTAACACCTCGAAATATACCTTTAAGACCCCAAAAAGTATATTTGTTCTTGATTCCATGTCGAATTAGCGATGTCCGTCTGTGGAATTCACTCTAGCTTCCGAAAGAAATAAAGTAGGATGATAAAATTTTACTAAAATGTATATTATGTCTGCAGGACTTTTGGTATTGAAAATGGGTGATGTAGGTCCACGTTTTGGTATAGCCCCCATATAATGGTACCTCCCTATTATCGGTATTTTGGTGATTTAAGGAACATTATTCTCGGGAATTGTCTTAAATTTGGTATTTGAAGTTTGTAATGGATACTACAGACTATAACAGAAAATTGTCCGTGCAGGTCCACGTTTTGGTATAGCCCCAATATAATGGAACCTCACTTTTTTCGGTATTTTGGTGATTTAAGCGACATTATTAACCCGAAATGTTTCAAATTTGGTATTTGAAGTTCGTAATGGATACTACAACCTACGACAGAAAATTGTATGTGCAGGTCTACGTCATCGTATAGCCCCCATATATAACGGCAATTCCCGATATTCGGTATTTTGATGATTTTAGTGATATTATTCACCGGAAATGTTTCAAATGTGGTATTTTAATTTCGTAATGGATACTACATCCTACGACAGAAAATTGTCTGTAAGGGTCCACGTTTTCGTATAGCCCCCATATAACGGTTCTCGACATTCGGTATTTTGATGATTTTATGGACATTATTCACCGGATTTTTTTCAAGTTTCGCATTTGAATATTGTAATGGCTTATGACAATGGTTTATGCAGGTCCACGTCGTCGTATAGACCCTAATATAAAGGCTAAATCCGGTATTTTTAAGAATTTAACAGAATATTTAGCGAATTTTTTTTTGAAAATTGCCCAATTCGTTCCAAATGGTGGAGGGTATTCAAAGTTCGGCCCGGTCGAAATTACAAATTTTTTACTTGTTTCTAAGGAACTTTGTAGAATAATATTAACCACGTTCTTTTTTCTGAAAATGTCCTGTCGTTCCATAAGAACAGAAAAAATATAATCTTAAACTTAACCATAACCTCACTTTTTTAAAGTTTTCCACCAAAATCACCCGCTTAAATATAATAATGAATTCCTTTCTTCTTCCCAGGTTCAAAAACTTTTGGATGAAAAAAATTCATATCAACACACAGCCAAAGAGGCCTTACGCAAAGTCTATCAAGAACGTTGTGATGCCATGCAATTGCTAGCAAAAATGGAATCTGCCTACACACAATCGGACAACGAGTGTGCATTGTTGCGGGACCAGATAATGAATTCCAAACAAACACTGCAAGATGTCAATACACGGCTGTTGCAATTGGAAACCGAATACAATGAATATCGTGACGATGTGGCACGTCAGCAACAAGAGGCTAAGGAACGTGAGGAGCAGCGAATCGCTGAACTAACGGAAAAGTTGCGTGAACGTGAATTGGAATGTGAAGAGCTTAAAAAGAAGATATCTGAATTGTTGATAAAACGGGCCGATTTATTGGATGACGAGGAGAAGATATTGGAAAAACAAGCCATAGAAAAATTAGATGCTGCCATAGCGGATATGGATTTGGGAGACGAAGATGATGATGATGACGACGAGGATGACGGTGAGGAAGGCGACGTTGTGGGGGTAGAAGGCGGCAAGGGAAGCAATGAAGTTGTAATCAAAACAAATGGTAAAACTGTTGACAAATCTGATACAGATTCCAGTCCAGAGACGAAACACAAACAAACGAATTTAAGTGCAACATCTAACGTTCCATCTTCATTGGCTTGCATATTTGGTGATAATGTCAATGGCCTTGAAAGTGAGGACAAGACAAGGGTAAGTTTAAAAACTTCACTTGTGTTGCCAAATACATTTATTTATGTCCCGATTTATTTGTTTGCTTTATCAAGGAAAAATCTCCGTCAATGTCGAAACACAAAAAAGCCAAAATGTTAGCCACATTAAATACCACAAAAGCCACCTCACCGCCCAAACGTGTCAAGGAATCGACAATTATGAAATGGTTGCAGAATTCCGATTTAAATAAAACGGAAGGTTCTCTGGATATATTCAAGGCGATATGCAATGAAAACGAAGAAGAAGCCGAAGGCGAAGTGGAAGCAAATGCTATAGATTCCAGTGATGAAGATAATCTGATTGAAGATGGTTTCGATATCAAACTGGATCTGAACAAAAAATGTACAGATTTTACCAGCAAACTGAGGAATGTTGAACAAAATCTTAAGCAATTGGAAGCCGAAATTGAAAATCGAACACAAAGTGCGACGAACGACAATGAGAAGCAGCGAGGAGGAGTAGGAGGTCAGAAGAAGAAACAGCAACGTTTCAAAAAAGAAAAGGATGTCTATGATTTTGAGGATAACAGCGATGAGGATGAAGAGGAGGAGGATGATGATGATAGTGGTGCTATAGCTGAAGAGGATGCATTTGTTATTAGTAGCAATGGTGCTGGTGGAAAAGCATCAACTTCAGCTTCTTCATATAAGGTGCTTTCCAAGCATAATAAGAAATATCAATTATTAAAAGCCAGCGTTGACATGCTTAGAGAGGCCTATAATGAAATTAAGGATACCGTTCCCAACGAAAGAAGAGGGAATGCCAATGCTCACAACAATAACAATTCCCTAAATAAAATCGAACAAAATAATTGCACTACTGAATCATCAAGAACCTCCTGTGCAACCGAGGACGCTGCGGAGGAGGACATTGATAGTGATAGTATTTCCTCTGAAGTGGAAAGTTTAAGTTTAAACTCACCTGTAAATAGTAGTTCTCATAGTACCATAAAACCGGAAAAGAAGCAAACGGAACAAGTGTTGGCGTCCGAAGACAGATCAGTCAATAATGCTCTGCTGCTGGAAGAACAATTAAGGGAATACAAAATGCAAGTGGGAAAACTGAATGAAAAACTAAAGCAAACCGAAATGGAAGCCCATCATACATTGGAAATCATGCAAGTCGAATGTGATGATGTCAAACATAAAATGTTAAGTCTTAATAAAATTATTGAAGCTTTAAAGGAAGATAAAAAGGCCCTGGAACAGGTCATCAATGAGAATAAAAATAATGCCATTAAAAATGTCAATAATCCCGAGGAGGAAACTGAGCAACAAAAAGCGGCAGCAGCGAAAAATGATCGTTGTGTTGAAATTATTTCCCAAAGATATGATGATGCGGAGGAGGGAGCTGCAATGCTTTTGGTGGAAAACGATTTGGCTGACATAAATGTAAGCGCCTTGGAGCGTGAAGAAGAATTGATTGCCTACAAAGAACGTTTGGATGACCAGCTAAAGGCCAATATTGATCTACGCAATGAAATTGCTGAACTGAAACAAAAAGCTGTTACCATACGAAATCCCATTGCCAATCGTGAGGATTTGCTAAAACGTTTTTTGCCCTATGGTTTTGTTGTTTTAGCCATTATAGTATATTTTATATCTACATATTTTTAAAGGAAACGACATAATTTTTTCATAGGTTATCCTTTCATTTTTTCCTCCAGCTCCCCCACCCTCAACATTCATTCAAGTAATATTTATATTCTTTTCAGCCACAATATCTAACCTGCATTGCACGCTAGTTTTTTTTGTGGTCGCTGATGATTGTCGTTTTCTTTTCTACTTTCTTTATCTTCTTTATTTAAAAAAATCCTAATAATAAATTATCAGTTTTAATTACTAATTATTATTATATTATTTTTGTTGTTATATTATGTCAGTTTTTTTTACCTAATTATATAAAAGAAAAATTAAAAGAGAAATCTAACGCAATGAAGAATATATGGCATATATTTAAATAAAACAAAAACAATACATTTAACAAATGAAATATATTATAAATCATATAAAGCTAAAACAAAAACCCAGAAACAAAGCATGCTAATTAAAAACAAAAATTTCATTTCATTTTTTATACATACATACATACATATATTTAATAACTCATATATACATATAAATAGAAAAAGGTAAACTAAAAATAATAATAACAAATAAAAAACAAACAAACAGAAGCCATTAAAATCCAATAATAATCCATATACATACATATATATTTATAAATAGAAAGAAAGGCCTGTATAATGATTATTGTTTTATAAAATTGCGAAGAGGAAGAAAAAAAATCCAACCGGAAATCATTAATACAATAAGTTTTCAATTAGGATATTTATATTTTCTTGATTTTGATTTTCGTTAAGAGACTCGTAATAGTTTTGTAATCACTGGCTTTTATAACCTACACCACAAGGTGGTGGTCAGGTGCATTTGTTTGTAACAGGCAAAGGGAAAAGAGATAGAACCGATATAACTACACGAATTCGGAAAACTGTTTCACTCGTAGACTTTTCGTCCACTCTGTTCATCCTAGGAAGAGACGGAAAATTTAGGAACGGAATAGATGTAGAAGTGAAAAAGAGAAGTAAAGATTTATAGAGAGAAGTGTTAGAAGTTCGGAGGAGAAGTTAGCCTATGTCTCTTGTTGGATAACATGGGACATGTGCAAAGTATATGTTCAATTGTCTATACCTCTTCTTCATCTTCACAAAGTCTACAGTAGTCAGAAATACTGTTGTCCCATTTTGTGGTCAGAAACATCAGTGACCAGTCACGACCACACCACCAAGAAACTTAGATATAACCTACTATGAATCTTCTCCTTCTCGAGATTACAGCCCGGTGGCCTTAAATACCCTGTAACCGTTTTGCAGGTGCCATCTTCCAACTCGTTTGATAACAGATTTTTTGAAGCAGCTGACGCAATTCCTTTTTGTGGTTAAACAGTATCATCAATCGGTACAACAATCGTCTTGAATCCGCCTTGAGCTAATTCATCAGCTACTTCATTCCCCAGCGGTTTTGCAGGTGCCATCTTCCAGCTTCTATGATAAGAGATTTTTTGAAGCAGCCAATGTAGTACCTTCTTGATTGTTTAACAATCTCATGAATCGGTGTAACAATTGATTTGGATCCGCCTTAAGCTAAATCATCAGCCACTCCTTTCTCATATACATTGCTACAGTCGAAAAAACAGCAAGTCTTAATAAATTCAAGTATGGCAAGGAGGGCTTTCTTGCATTCGATTTCTTACTCTCGATTTAATGACACTTGACTTGATAGCTCTGAGGTCCCCTTGACTATAGACGTATATAGTCACTAGTCCTGCTATGCTATTGCAGTGTTCTTTTACCATTTCGGCTGCCTTCTTGATTTCAAGAATCTCCGCCTGAAAAATACTGCAATTTGTCATTAATCTTATTAGAGTGTTTAATGATTGGGTTGGGACAGAATACGCCAGCGCTGGTGCCTTCATCCATCTCTGAGCCGTCTGTATATATGACCAGGGTTAGGGCAGAATACCTCAGCGCTGGTGCCTTCATCCATCTTGGAGCCGTCTGTATATAAGGCCAGACCATCCAGAAGAGGTTTGCCATCAGCCTATCCTATCCGAGTATAGTAATCTACAATCACTTAATTCTAGCAAAATTTCGATTTAAATAAAAAAGGAATGTTCTTCTGGATATATTCAAGGCATAATGGAATAAAAACGAAAGAGAAACCCAAAGCCGAGGCTAAATTAATTACATGGAAGTATTAAGTTTTCTGTCTGTAGGTTCGAATTTGGAATTAGTAACATGAAACCTGTGATTATAAAACTATTATAAGTATTCAAAATAACAACAGTGTGCTACAGCGACATAGTCACTTTTCGACTCAGATTTTTCTTGGAAAACTGAAAGTCGATTTAGATTCGCACCACTTGAATCTAACTCAATTTCCATTTTTCCAATAAAAATCTCAGTCGATAAGTAGAAAATATTAGCCCGCACCTGAAGGTAAATCGATTTTTAAATTTTTCAGGAAAAATATATCTTGAAAAGTGGTTGAAATTAGATAAAAAAAATGAATTCAAATGATCTAATAATATTTCCGAAACAATGGAATTTTCAAAAATAGGTCTAATTTCATGTTTAAAATTATTTTTTAAACCAATTTGTTCGATTTCGAAGGAGAGAAAGTGGCCTCAGGATTTGGGGGTGATATTTTTTAAAATAAAAAAGTCTTTGTTTTGGAATTTCCTTTTAGTTTCGAAATTACCTACCTCCCAATCTTTCTACAAATATGGTTTTTAATTATGCGCCTTTTTCTTTCAACCCATCTCATTTTAAGGTTATAAATATATAAAAATCTAGAATGAAGACCCCCTTGTAGCACCCCATAATTCATAAGACACAATTAAAAAAAAGATCAAAGAAACCGTAACCTACCAATATATTTGCATTTGTAAAAAAGAAATAAATAATAAAATATCAAGAACAACAACAAAAAGCAACGCGAACCTGAAAATTAATAATAAAAACCAATAACAACAACTTAATAAAAATAAATAATCGTTAAAATTATAATAAAACTAAAAAATACAATCATTTGTTGATTATTGTAAAAATTGTTTCTTGTCTTCTTGATTATATTTAGTTAATTTTGTGTTTAGTTTTAATTTGTGCATTCATTTTTCACCTAAAGTCTAACCATCCCCTGACTAATGAAGTCCTCACTTCACTGCTTCAAAAAGCTGCTGAATTATTTCAATTTTCTTTTTGGCTAACTTTGCTGTTATTTTTTTTGTTAAGTTATTTGTTTACATTTATATCCCTCCTTAAATAAAAAGTAACACCAACTTTATTCTTAGTAATACAGCTTTGCTGTTTAAATTATTATTTTTTAAATAATATAATATGTAATTCTATATATTTCACATCCCTCCTTTCCTCTCTATCTATTTTTATATATAATTAAAATAGTTTTATTTTGTGTGGCAACTCAATTGAGATTGGGTATCTAGTTTCTCTTTTTTCCCATCAAAGTCAAAGAGTCAAGAACCATCATCTCTTTAAATTTTTGCTGAACAGAGAATAAAACAACAACAACAACAAAATAAAATGCTAACATAAATATATTGTAAATTATAGGCATAACAAAACAAACAAACCAACCCCAAAAACCCGAAATCAATTATTATTAATATTTAATTACCATGAGAAAATATACATATATACAAAACCCACAACAACAACAAAGCAAATAAACAAAATTTATTATAGTAAAAAAAATAAATATATAAAATATGTGTGTTTTTTATAACCAATATGGACGGCTTGGGACATGAAGGATATTAGGTTGTCTGGTTACTTTTCCTGCAGGAATTGTCCAGCAACATCTTTCTAAGAGAGCAAGGTAGTTTTATTCTCTTTTTCAAAGAAAATGACGGTATTCCTGCAGAAACTTGCAACTAATCAGCTGATTTGTCAAAACAAACCAATTTTAAAAGGATTAAAAGAAAAGAAGCACCCCCAATTTTACAAGTTTTATAAATAAAGAGGAAATTAGAAATAAAATAATAATATGAGCAATAAAAGAAGGATAGATTTGATGTGTTCCCCGGAATCCCTTAAATGTGTTGATAATGGCGCTTAACTAAAAATGTTGAAAATACCCTTTTATTTTCCTATTACATAATGATATTTACGTTTTTCACATTTTGTAAAGTTGTTCTTCAAAAACAAAAAAAAAAAAAAATATATATATATATATATTTATTCAAATATATATAAATTTACCTATTATTAGGCATAATGCAAATATAAATACAAATACCGAAGTTGTGTCATTGGATGTTACAAAAGAATTTAACTACAGGGTGAGATAAAAAAAACTGCAACAATGTCAAACGCCATAATTTTTAATTTTTTTTTTAATTTTATTGAATAAAAACAAAAAATGTCGGAAATAGCATAACATTTTAGAATGAGTTTAGTTTTGTTCGAATTGGTCACTTTTGGCATGAATTATAGCCTTCAAACAGCCAATGAAACCGTCACGCGCAGCTCGAATGTTGTTCTGCGGTATTTTTGCCCATTCCCTTTGAGCTATTCGCTTGCTTGAGGTGATCCATACTTTGGTATTTTTTAGTGCCAACCTTTCTTCCCAAAATACTCAAGACACAATAGTCTAAAAGATTGATATGCGGAGATTTTGGTGGCCATTGTGCGCTGGAAATGAAGCGGGGAACCTCATTTTGTGGCCATTCTTGCGTGGCGCGTGCTGAGTCCTGTTGGAATGTCCAAGATCTGCGACCAAAATGTTTGCGTGCCCAAGGCTTTAATACACCCTCCAGAAAATTTTCGCGATAATATTTGGCATATATTCTGATGCCACGGTCTATTAATACGAGCGGAGAGCGACCATCGGCTGTTATGACAGCCCACACCATCGCCATGGCCGGCGCTTGAGTTCTGGCGGCCAACCGAAAGTACACATTTTCAGCTGACCTCTTAGATCACGATCATTTTGTTTGTTTACAAACTGCTGGACAAAGGATGTTTTCTCATCGGAGAAAACCAAATTCGGCAGTTCACCACTTTCGGCCAAATGGAGCAACTCTTCAGCTCTTTTTAGTCTGTTTTCTTTCTGTTGCGGTGTAAGTTCTTGGACCTTTTTAAATTTCAATGGATTTATCCCGAGTTCATTTTTCAATGTTTGCCGAATGGAATATTGCGATATGTTCAGCTCACAAGCCATTTTCGGCCACTGCGACGCGGGTTTCAATTAAGTCGCTTCTTTACTTTTTGAACCATTTCTGCTGATGTTGCTGTTTTCTTCCGTCCACTTCCTTGACGTCGGGCTACGCTACCAGTATCACGGTAACGAGCGATGATACGAGACACAAAAGATTTATTTACATGTAAACGCTGGAGTGCTCTAACGATAGCCACTTGTGGTTTTCCAGCCAAATATAAAGAAATCACACTATCACGCTTGAATTTCTTTACGAATATCATTTTTTCTGGAAAATTTTCAACAAAATGCTTATGCACGCTTGTTAACAATATAATGAGCTTTCACTGGAATAATTTTAACAGCTGTCAGACGAGTGGCTTGGAAACGACAGTAGTCTGAAGTTGGTTCAGTTTTTTTCATCTCACCCTGTACATGATCTTATTTTTAAGTTCAATTTTTCCGCTTGTTGCTTCATATTCGCATGATGTCACCCAATTTGTTGTTCTTAATGGAAAATCTTCGAATGTGTTGTATCAATCAAGTTATACCCTCAGCCATATGGCTAGAAAGGTATATATCATTTGATACGGCCAAAACGTGACTCATCGAAATAACGGTTTTAGACCCTATCTTCAAATATCACACACACAAGCATTTTTGGTAACACAAGATCTGTTGTGAAGAGGATATATATCTGCGAACCCCTTTGGTACCTAACCCGGGTCACAATTTTCAATATTTTTATCTGCCATAACTTGCGAAAGAAGTCGGCGATTCTTTAAACTTGCTATATCTAAATATTTCTCTTAACCAGAAATCTGATATGAATATGTGATTTATGGATATAAATGTTCGATTTTCTTCAAACTTTGCACATACCCATATTTTTATCTGTATTAGATGAAGTGTGAAAATGGAATACTTTGGTCCGCTATATATGTTACCTTAGGCATATTTCCACACTTTCCAAAAATGTGCACATGCCTCATATAAAGTACAGGAAGTAGTCGACATAGTCCAAATCTGTCACGTTGTAGCATTTATATCAGTCTTAGATCAGATACGAATTGGTCAATATTGGCCAACTGCTTCGAAACCTCCCCCATAAAGGGTCAACGGTTTAAATAGTCATAACTGCGACTCCGACCGACTGATACTATTTTACATGTTCATAGTTCAGTACAGTACCAGTTCCAAAAAGTATGTGTGATTTTATAAATTTTATATGACTCATACGCAGTTTTCATACAAATGATCCGCGGAACTCGATAAGGAACTAAAGGGTCTCCCAACTAGAACGCAATTTTTATACCCTCTGAAATTCTACACAAGGAGTTCTCCGTGAGTACTTTACCCCCCTGAAAGAGATATATATTGTCTATATAGGTCCACGATATCGTATATTCCCTAAATAACTGTACCTCCCCACAATCGGTATTTCGATGATTTTAGTCACATTTTTCATCGGAATTGTCTGAAATTCTCACAGGAAATTCCTTGTGAGAACATTATTCCCTAGAAGAGAATTGTCTATATTGCTCCACGATATCGTATAGCCGGTACCACCCGATATTCGGTATTTTGATGATTTTAGTCAAAATTTTCAATGGAATTGTCTGAAATTCTACACAAGGTGTTCTCCCCCTGAAAGAGAATTTTCTATGTAGGTCCACAATATCGTTTAGTCTCCATAAAATAGTGCCCCCCGATATTCAGCATTTTGATGATTTTAGCCTCATTTGTCAATGGAATAGTCCACACAAGGAGTTCTCTGTGAGTACTTTAAGCACTGAAAGATAAATGTATATAAAGGCCTACATTTAAGTATACCATCCATATAACGCTATATTAAAACGTAGACCTATATACACAATTCTCTTTAAGAAGGAAAAAGCTGCAAAAATAGTAGATTCTTGCAGGTACTGGAACTGAACATATGTGTTAAGGGTATTATAAGTTGGTCCCCGATATAGGAAAGTATATCTTGCCAAGCTGAGTCGATCTAGAACATACATGTCCGTCGGTTATGGTCCGAATCCCAAGAAATTGAAAATGGAGGTGGGGTTAGGATCAGAATAAAAGCCTGTTGTTTTTGGAAAGTATCGCAAAATATTTAGGGGTTAAAATGGACCAAAAACAGAAAAGTTTTTTTACTTTGCTTTTGCTCTACAGGCCACAATTATAAACCAATGGACGGAATTTCTCATGGAGTTAGAGTTTACGGCTGGACAGAAGCCTACCAATTTGGATGGTCATCGGACAATATTTAGCGGGTAAAATAAACCATAATTTGTATGTCAATACAAAATTATCCACTAAACGGCGAATATTTATATTTCCGGCCAAATCATAATTACATTAAAAGGTCACTTCTGACCATTACAGAAATCCTTTCCAAAATGCTATCAATTGTGCTAATACCTTTTTCGGGTCCGGTTTTACTAAACTATAGTTAAACCGAAAATTGGCTCAGGGTATACATCTGTCGGCAAAACTGACTGACTGATGCTTTTTAACTTGTTGTTTGATTAACATAAAAAACACATTTGCATATGGTTGTTATTACGTTCGTTGTAAAGCAATACTTCCTCTTACCTTATTATTGTACTATGAATTCGTATGTAAATGAAAATTTTCACGTACAGTACAAATATTAATTAAAACATGCCGTGTAGAGGTTCCTTAAGAAGCTAACTTTGTTACTTCCCTACTTCTAAAATACGTTACTTCCTTAACTAACTGCATGCAAAACGTAAGGGAACAGCTGTTTCCACAATCCAACCATGCGATACGTTGTGTTACGTTTTACTCGCGAATCGATTAATCGACCGTTCAACACAAAAGTCGATAAATCGAAAGACGACTTACGTATCCCTAGTCACTGCGAGATACGAATGGTGAATGGTCGTCGCGTATGTCTGTTACGGAGAACCAAAAAGTAAATGAAAGAAAAAAAAAACAACAAAATCGAACAATTAAGACTTCATTTAAATGCCTTTTTTAAACGAAAAGGAATAATGTTTTGCTATTAGAAAAACTAAAGCAATGTGGGCTTTCTTTTAAGGGAAAAGGTGAAACTCGAAAAAACTACAACGAAAGTAGAAAGAAAACAACAAAATGCAAATATAGTCGGCTACTACTTATCAATCGGAACAAAAGTGTGTTAATTTATTTTCATTTAATTTGTATGGAGGAAGTTCTGTGTGTGCGTGTGTTTGCATTGTAAATTAGTATTTCTTACTTTTTTTTTTGAAAATTTGTTTTATTTTTCTATTAACTAAGAAAAAGCAATAAGTGTGATTATTAAAAATTCTAGTTTTCTTTAAATGAGAATTATGCGATGACCAAACCTATCGAAAAAATGCCGACTGTGCTAATTTCTTTTTCGGTTTTTATGATGGAGTTTTATCGGTATTGGTGTTGATTTTGTGTTTGCATGAGTGTAAATGGTGTTTTCCATTGTTGGTGTTGTTATTGCAACAAAATAGGAAGAAAAGAAAATGCTAAACATGAGAAAATGGCTTTAAACTTCTTTTCCTCATCTATTGCCAAAGAAAAATAAAAGTAAAAAACGAAACGAAGTGATTTACCCTTAATCAATTATTCCCACAAAATGAGAGGAAAATTTCTCGTGTCTCATTGAAGAAAAAAAGTAGACAAAACAAATCAAAATTTTGACATTTTTGTTCTTATATGAACGTCGTAGCCGTTGTCGTCATGCCATATGAAATAATCTCATGACGTTTTGTGTTTCCTCCGACTTCTACTACTCCAACCAAAAGAGGGGTTGTCAAAAAGGGTTGCTCGTTTGCTCTTCGAGGGTTATTCACATTTTATGATTTATCCGTCAAGTAAATCAAGAATTGTTATTAATTAATTATACAATTATGGTTACCATGTTGGCATAAATTCCAGCTGCTGGTGTGGCCCAAAGATAAATCTTATTATGTGAATAATATTCAAAGATCTAATGTGTGTGTGTGTTTTCTTTTTGGTGAAAATAAATTTAACAGAAAGTAAGGAGAAAATAATAGTCAACAAAAATAGTAGAAAAACATAAACAACGACACTGCATAAAAACAATTGTTTTTTATGACACTTCATATAAAATAGTCATTTATGACATTGTGTTGTTGTTGCTGTTGTCATCGTTGTCGTCTTCGTCGTTATTGCCTGCAGTTTGGTTGTCAAAACATATTTTATTAAGTTTTTCTTGTCACATCACCTGTCTCTCTGTTGGTCTGTGTGTCGCCGCTTTATATTGGGATTTCTGTGGAGCAACGTTTTTCTTTGGATATCTGTGTTTAATTATCAATGAGGTAAGTTTGAAAAAATAAATTTATGAAAGAACGACATAGAAAAATAATTATTTTCACATCATGGATTAGGAGTCGAGATCAAGAACTCCAAAATAAGTCATCGTACCTAGTAGTTATGTGTGGTGTACGCTTACATGATCTTTGCAACCTTAAACGCAGCTGAGCTTAACATTTTTCTTTGCGATATATTGGGTAATATAAGATTACAAAAAAAATTTAATTTTGTGGACCATGTTATTGGGAAAATTAAAAAAATTGAACCTGAGCAATACATTTACGAGTTTTTTTAACCAAATATTTGTCAAACATTTGTGCAAAACTTAATGGATTTGTTCAAGTAAGTCTCAGCTTTTCACCAAAATGTGGAAGAGCAGGGAAGTCCCGACTATAATCTATGGTCACATTCCAAAACCGGCTATGTATCCTTCTCTTTTTATACCCTCTACCATGGTATGAAGAGTATATTAAGTTTGTTATTTGTACATTAAGTTTGTTCGGAAATAGCATCAAATTTTAGAATAATAGAATAAGTTTAGATTTGTTCGAATTGGGAAATGAGGTGAGGAACCTCATTTTGTAACCATTATTGGGTGGCGCGTGCTGAGTCCTATTGGAATGTCCAAGGTCTACTGCCAAAATGTTTGCGTGCCCAAGGCTTTAATGCACACTTCAGAATATTTTCGCGATTATATTCGGCATATATTTTGAGACCACGGTCGATTAATGCGAACGGAGAGCGACTATCGGCTGTTATGGCGGCCCATACCATCACCATGGCCGGCGTTGGAGTTCTGGTGGCCAACCGACGGTGTAAAATTTCAGCTGACCTCTTTGGCAAGTAAACACGATCATTTTGTTGGTTTGTTTGTTTTCTCATCGGAGAAAACCAAATTCGGCAGTTCACCACTTTCGGCCACTTTCGAAGCAACTCTATAGCTCTTTTGAATCTATTTTATTTGTTATGTTCAGCTCACGAGCCATTTTTCGGCCACTCCGATGCGAGTTTCGATCAATTCGCTTCTTTATTTTTCGAACCATTTCTGCAGATGTTGCTGTTTTCTTCCTTCCACTTCCAACATCAGCTGTTGGACGAGTGGCTTAGAAATTACAGCAGTCTGAATTTGGTTGCAGTTTTTTCATCTCACCCTGTATGTCTGAGAAGAACTTTATAGTTTCTATTTCCCGCCAGTCAAATAGCCTATGTCTCTTCTTGAATAATATGGGGAATTTGCAAAGTAGCAAGTAACTCTTCTACATCTTCATATAGTCTACAGTAGTCAGGACCACTGTTATCTCATATTGAGGTCAGATATCTGGCACTGCAGTGGCCAATCACTATGTCCACCGCGATTCCTAATTTTACTAACTGATAGTTTTGCTGGCAGTGTGAAAAAACCTCCCTGTTTTTTCCGAAGAATATCAATGTCCTTATTCCACCAAATCTGGGCTGCGATTTCCTACCATAATAGATGATTGGACAATATTTTTCATAGCTTAAACGAAGGGCCCTTTCGGCAATATTCACTGCTCTCTAGACATCATTGGTAGATTTCATATCTCGAGTATCCTGTCCTTCTTGGATTAATATATGATTTCTCTCTGACACTGCTATTAGAATATCGGTTTCTATTCTGAGAAGGAAAACTTTTCAGACATTTTCCAATTGCTAATAGCAAAGACATCCATAATTGCGAGGGTGATGACTTCCCCCCTTACAATATTCTGAAATGTCGGATTGTTCCCTTTATTACATATTCTAAGATTATTGTTGAGAATAAAATTGAATACTTACCTCTTGCATTTGTATCACTGCTTCGCCAGTAAAATTGATAGTCATTTGCGTAACATTCTAGGATATTGTAGCATCTTCTTTGGTAGGTCCAGGACATCTTTGTGGCGGGTCCGAGTTTTCATAAGGCATTTAAATCGAGGATATTAGCGGTGGTTTACCACTACCACCACCTCCATCCATCTTATAGGGTGCAAAAATCAACGTATATATTGTCTTGAATCCCATCTAAAGATGGTACATAAAGATCATTCAATTTTATAGATAAATACAATTGGTATTTATTGGACCTGGAATTGAAACCATTGGCGTAGGTTAATATTCATATTTCGGCACCGCCAATAACTGCCTCGCTTTCCATTCAAATACAATCGACCTCATGATCTAAAAAAGCAAAATTTTTAATGATTTTCTCTTTCACTTCTATGTTCTACTACGTTTTTTGGTTTTAATAATCTAACTGGAGAGATCTGACCAAAAGTGTGTCGAATTTATCTAGGCAGAAATGTGCGTGTGTGTTTTTAAAGAAACATCACCAAATTGCTTCATTTGTATGCCACTTGTGTATAAGATTTATGTCCCGATGTATGTGGTGGTTGTGTTAATGTTTGTCCGAAAAATTTCACAGGTACTTTTACTTTGACACTTGCCAAGAATATTAAAGATATTGATCATTGCGGTGGTTAGCAGCACACAGATCAAAATTCATTTCCTTTTCCTTTTTCCGAAAGTAATAAAGAAAGACAGCATTTAATTCTTGCAGCGTAATTTTCCCATTTCTCTTGCGTAAATCCCGTTTCCGTTGCTTATCTGGTATCAAGACATTGCTTGCTTGATCGTTTTTTCCATTCTCTTCCTTTTAATAATTGTTTTGTATTTTTGTTTGTTGCGCTTTGCCTTTTCGTTTGTTTTATTAATTATGAAAAATGTGTGTGTTTTTAATTGTTGTTTTTGTACAATCACATTTTTTTCCAAAGAATTTATTTTATTCTTATCAATGTTCTTTAATATTTTGTTCACAAGTGTTGGAAGTTGATTTGTTGTTATTCCCCCTAGAATTCCCGTGAAGTGTCATGCCCAACAATCGGGCGCAAGAACAACAATTGCTTCATGTAAACAGGTGAGAGAGAACCAAAATATTTCTCTCCCTCTAACTACTTTCTCCATTTGATGATGATCTATTTCTCTACTCTCACATAATTATATTCTCTTCTATATATAGGCTCTTTCTCAAATAACTTCTATCTCTGACAATTTACCTTGACAATTTTCTGTTTGTCTTTCAGGAAGAAAACAATAAAATAAACATAAATAAATATTAAGAATATATGCGTCATTGCCCTCCGTGTACGGTGTGGTTACAAAGAAAAAATAATTTTTAGTTGTTTTCATTGTAACATTGTCAATTCCGTGGCACAATTATTAATTGTTGACCATTATTAACCAACAATAGAGGCAAGTGGATATACAATTAGACTAGTAGCTGCTGTTTTGCATTGAAAATCAGAGATGGGCATAATGCACTGTATTTTTAGTGCACTAATAATTTCACTATCAATATTCATTTAGCGGTAGTGCAATTTTTAATTCCACTACCACTAAAGGGTTAGTGGTAGTGAAAAATAAATTGCACTACCACTAACGAGCCCATTATTGGTAGGCAATAACCGCCTGGTACTAGGGGATTTTAATGCCCACCATGAGTTGTGGCATTCCGTCCTAGGTAATGACCAGAGGGGATCAGCGCTGGCAGAGCAGATTGACTGCTCCACATTTTGCACGGTTAACGAGGATGCCCCCACCCGAATAAGAGGAGAGTGTCACAGTTCGCCAGACTTAACCATAGTGTCACCCGGTCTGATAAATGACGTGACTTGGCAACCCGTCATTTCTCTGGGCTCAGACCATCTCCCGATAATCGTCTCCATAAGCAGGTCGCCCGATTTCATAACCTCTGAACGCCGCACTTTCCTTAACCATGGGAAAGCTCACTGGCCAGAGTTCAGAGAATTCACCAACCGCCGCTTCAGAGAACTGCCCAACCCTTCTGATGTTCGGGTAGCAGAAAGGATTTTCCGAAACATCATCAGAGCTGCAGCCGCTCGCTATATACCTGCTGGTCGAATACCCGAGATAAGACCAAACTTCCCAGCAGAGGCAGCGGGATTAGCAAACGAGCGTGATGATCTCCGTCGTACCAACCCTACTGATCCTAGAATCAGTGATTTGACAGTTGAAGTCAACCGGTTGGTACAGGAGCATAAGAGGAAAAAGTGGCTAGACCATCTGAAGTGCTGCAACATTGGAACCGATATGAGTAAGCTGTGGGTAACGGTTAAGTCGCTCTCGAACCCTGGAAAAAGGATGATAGGACCTCAGTCACTTTTAACGACGTAACGGTGACTGATCCGAAGAGGTGCGCGGAATATTTTAACCGACAATTTGTCGAGCACCCCGAGAGCGATAGGGCGAAGCGAAGAGTACTACGTCGTATCAGATCTCTTCCCGCAGAGGAGGAACCACCACAGTTTACGATGGGTGATGTTGCAAATGTCATCCGTAACGCTAAGTCATCCAAAGCGTTGGGCCCGGACGGAATCTCAATGGTAATGTTGAAGCAGCTGGATACGCCGGGAGTCGAGTACTTAACGAAAGTTCTGAATTTGTCGCTAGCCACCCACATAGTGCCCGAAACCTGGAAAATGGGCCGGGTGGTCCCGCTACTGAAGCCAGGCAAGGATGCCAGTAAAGGCGAATCGTACAGGCCGATTTCGCTTTTGTCGCCAGTAGCAAAGACTCTTGAGGCTTTACTCCTCCCCAGCATTAGAGGAAGCTATACAGTTGCCAACCACCAGCATGGATTCCGTCCACAACATAGTACCACAACAGCATTACACGCCATTTCCACACATATTAGTAGAGGACTGAACCAGAACAGGCCGTGTGACAGAACAGTGTTGGTAGCCCTTGACCTATCAAAGGCATTTGATACGGTCAATCATGCCACACTGTTTGAGGACGTACAGAGAACTACCCTCCGGCCAAGTTTGAAACGTTGGATAATCAACTATATGTGTGGACGCCAGTCGTACGTGGAATTCCGGAACAAGAAGTCCAAAGCCCGTAGAGTGAAACAGGGAGTTCCCCAAGGCGGGGTGATATCTCCGGAACTGTTTAACCTCTACCTTTCCGGAATTCCTCGCCCTCCAGA